TTTTTTTTTTTTTGATTGTTTCATTTTCATCGAATTTAAAAAAAAAAAAAAAAAAAGAAAAAAAATTAACTGCTATTTGTTCGGAAACGTTTGAATTCCAATGAATTTTTAGTCTGACGGTCGACGATGGGAAACGATTTCATACGATTCAATGCGATCCGCCTGGAAAACGAATATTTTTTTCAACATTTTTACCTGTTGCTATTTTCGTGCTTTCATCCCCGACCTATCGCAAGGACTTCATCCGTGAAGCTGTATACACCGGGATGCTGTCAGGCCAGCTCGAACTTTAAAATCCTCGTGGGCGTTCTCACGTCGCGTCGGCGTATGCTCCGAGCACCAGTTTCCATGGCGATCGGTCACGGTGACCATGATTTCGATCTGACGTCATTGCCTCGGAAAGGACAACCACGTGCTGCGGACGTGTTGTCGGTTAACGAGTTTTCCCTGTAACGATTTTTCACCGTTACGTCACGAGGAAAGTACAGTTGGCGTGGGTTATGCGTGCAATGCTATTCCAATTGAAAAAAAAAAAAAAAAAAAAAAAACGAAGGCACGTAATTTATACACGCGTATGTACGTAAGTACGATTTCTGTGTAAATACGATTTAAATACGATAACAACACGTGGCAGTTAGAGAATAGAAAAACAACTTGTAAACGATAACAATAACGTATTCACTTGGCCAAGATTATCGAAAAACACGTACCGCTAATTGATGGCTAATCAGTTTTAAATAGTTCAAGAAAATATGCACGCACGTATATATAAACAATGTGACCTCACTATAGCGTATTCCAATTGCTGAACGCTAATAAGTGTTAGTCGCTCAGTTCATGTTCAAGTGCCAACTTACAAAACTATATTATTTACATGTTATCGTACTAAACGTATGACAATGTATTGTTAAAGTAATTGTAAAAAAAAATTATGTATTTATCATATATGTTATCTTTATATATATTATATATTATCATTAATATATATTAGCGTATATTACGTGTATTATAATATAATAATACAATAATAAATATTATAATATAATAAATATAAATATATAATAAATATAATATAAATTAATATAATATAATAATAAATATTATATAATACATATTTTAAAAAGTGTATGTATATATAATAATTTTCTATCACTTTAAGTAATCCGATTAGATTAAATTACTCGAAAGAATTAGTAATTAGCTCGAAAGATAAGGAAGAATTCTAAAATTGTGGATAAAGTTATTTGTATATTATGCTAACTCGTTCGTCTCAACTGGGAAAACACGCGCTCTGTTAGAGATTATTTTTGAAAAAATCGATATCCCCTCGCGTCAATGAGCTGTTTTCAAAGAATGATAGTAACGCCGCGAAACTACGTTGTTGGCATCGTTATGTCGCAATTCACGACGATACAGTTTGGTCACCCCGAGGACAAAACAGTTCTGCGAAATTCACTCGAAACAGCCAGCTTCGTCGTAAATTCGTCGACATCAGCCTTCTGAAAATTTGCCCGACTTTTCGGTCAAATCGATAACATGTGAAAACGAGTTAAGATAAATTTTTCAATATTTATGGCCAGTTCAGTATTTATTCGCTTAGTCGGCTTATGTAGCGCACTGAAATACCGATCGCGCAGAGTCAAATTCAAGCAAAAGTTTTTGCCACGATAAAAGAAAAATGATATTCACTTCATTAATATTTTTGGAAATTAGAAATTGTTATTGGCAAGTTTTTTCACGCTCGAGTTGAAATTACGTCACGGGATACTTTTTGCTGAGTCCATGTTATTGGAAATAATACTAAATTGGCAAGAGTAAAAAAAAAAAAGAAAAAAATATTTTGCGCGATGTACTATCTACGTGGTATTTTATCTATGGTATAATTTAGAAAAATTTAGAAAGTCAGCGATGGAAATTTTCGTTTATTTTCTTTCGTTAGCCCCTTAAAATTTCCTCCGTGGTAAGTTTGACGATTCCGAATCCTCGAGATTCGCTCGAGACGATATTTTTTCATTGTTCCTGGTTCAAATAAATCAACCGTACGTGATTCATTGAGATGACGTTTAATATTTACCGAGGGGAGAATATTTAATGATTTGAAGAGTATCGTGGCCAGGATTCCTTGCGTTGCAAGCGTAGACCTGAACAGAAGTAGGCCATGAACGTAGATCGAATTTGAAGTGGCTACGGTGAAACGGGGTTACCCGACGCTGTCCTTTATGAATCCATCCGAAACGCTATAGTATTTCCCGGAAATAATTGTCGTGTTTCCTAAAGACTGTCGCTAGACCTCGCTTTTGTCGTTAGCAGATACATATCGCGAAGGCAGAATTGATTCTGATACATAATATCAGTGTGATAAAGTGTACAATTTCAAGTACATGAGACTGATAAATAAATACAGAACGGAGATAATTATTTTGTTAATGAACAGGAAGCAATTTTGATAAATAAGATATTCAAACGAATATAACTCGATGTAATCCGATATAACGTCAGATTACATAATCTAAGCGTAATGTAATAGTTATATAAATGCATGCACGTAAATTTTTTTGCCTGAGAAATTAATTTATGTAATATTAGAAACGGCGGAGGATTTAGAAAATGATCGCGACATCTAACGTGAGTGGAACTAATGAAAATGCGATCGCTTGTTGTGTCGGTCATGCAGAGATCTAATTTTTCTAATATCACATTAGTGCTACAGATTA